TAGCCATAAGTAGCACCGCGAGAACCTCGTTTACGCCACCCATTCGACACGCGTCGATTTGACAGACGTCAATGGCGCCTGACATCAGCAGCTGCTTGAATATGACGCGGTTCTGGCACATCTCGCCCGTGGCAACGCCGATGCCGAGGGGTCGCAGCGCGTCACGGACTGCCTTGTGGCCGAGGATGTCATCGGGCGATGTAGGCTCCTCTATGAACCACGGCTTGAAATCCGCAAGCTGCTTCATGTACTCGATGGCTTCGGGTACACTCCAGACTTGGTTCGCGTCCACCATCAGGATGTTGCCGCGGTCGAAGCCGATTACGTCGCGCGCGATTCCCAGTCGCCGTCTGTCTTCCTCGACGCTCCCGCCGACCTTCAGTTTGAAGTGCTTATATCCCTGACTTAAGGTCTCGTTGAGCAGGGCTTTCATCTTGTCCTCGCCATAGCCGAGCCACCCAGCGCTCGTCGTGTATGCGGGTACAGCACGGCTGTTCAAGGCGTCTTGAAAGCGGTTTGCCTTATCCTTCTCGCTCCCCCTCAGCAGATCAACAGCTTCTTCTGGGGTTATGGCGTCCGTGATATAGCGGAAGTCGATGCACCGCACGAACTCTTCGGGTGTCATCTCGGCCACGATCTGCCAGACCGGCTTTCCAAGGGTCTTGGCCCACAGGTCCCAGACCGCATTGACGACGGCACCGAGCGCCAGGTGGATGACGCCCTTTTCAGGGCCAATCCAGCGCAGTTGCGAATCGTTGACTAGATACCGCCAGGTCTTTCCCCAGTCTGCTACTAGAGAGGAGAGGGTCCGGCCCTTCAATCTGTCGCCAAGGTGGTTGATGGCTCCGCATACTATATCGTTGCCACGACCAATGGTGAATGTCTAGACTCAGTTATTAGCAGGCTTCAAGGCAGTGCTATAAAGTAAAAACCTACCATTCCATGACCTGTAAACTCTGAATCGGTCTCAAGGATGCAGTATGCAGATGAGTAATCTCCGGCAGCATTCATAGCATCAGAGCCGGTCTTGTCTAGCGAGGTAGGGAATCGGACATCCCTCGTCCTCCAGCCTGTGATAGTTATCTCAGCCATGTTAAGATCTCTCGAATCCAGAGCCGTGGATTTGAGAAATGTATAGAAAAGGGGTTGATATGACCAGAGAGGAATGCTAGCCAAGAAAAGAACGGAATGGGAAGGGATAAAGGGAAATGAGGCGAGATATAAACGTGGTCATTCACAAGCTATCCTCCCCATCATCCCCAACTCAAGACTTACAATTAATACAACATCCCACTCTGCGTTTCCCAATTCACCCCGGTAGCGTGGTCCTCCGTGGGGTATGGAGGGGCAGAAGTTAGCGGGCCCGTCCCATCATCACTCCGAGAGGCTCCAAGGCGCGTGTTATGATTGATGGAAAAAATGAGGGGAGATCCCACTCAGTTTGACGCGCCTAGTTGCTGGGGGTGTACCTAAAGCAGAGAAAAGCTCGTGATGTGACTAGAACTGCGGAAGAATCTTCGGCGCATGCAAGGTGCATATGCTTGAGAAAAAACTTCAGATATGATGAACAAGAGGCGGAAATCACGGGGGAATCTTTGAAGTGTGAGCCGTCATCATGAACTAACACGAGGTAGTATCTTGGGCAGATTGTTGCTGTCGCATCGTTGGAGTAGGTAGAGTAGTAGTGTACTACTACGTTCTATGGCGCTAATGCTTCGAGCCTCGATTTTACTTAGCATATCGCATTCCGGTCAGTGCAGAGAAAGGCCTCCGACAGTCGATATATCTACTGATCTCTATGAGGTGAGACACTTTCTCTCTACCAGAAGCCCGTGCGACTGAGATCGACTCCCAAGCTCCCGCTGGATCAGGTCACCAGCTAGTTACTAGTCCAATACTGATTTAGCTACTCTAAGTCCTCAGTTCGGTTCAACAACTTTCAGCACGTCCGGTTAATACCAACGCGAGTACGGTGTCTATTCAGTATATAGCTATGTAAGCTATGAAGACACCAGAAAATCCATCTCAATAAAACCGTATGTGAATGTGTATGCCGTGTCCAGTATAAGTTTCTTCCACCAGGACTCTCAGCAGCCGAAATGCAGTCACTCAGGCAAGTTAAGGTACTGCTCTTCCAGGTCGCGCCACTCCTCCTCGTCAGGGTCGGAATGGCCGATCTGATCGATGATACAACGACGGGCTGGGTTCGAGTTTCTGAGGAGATTGGCGTAGCCAGGTACTCCCAAGGCGTACGGCAGCAATAGAGAAGGCGGGTTATCGCCGTCCCAGTCTTCAACAAACCAGATCGTCTCTGGGAATTCGACCTCTCCGTTTCCGTAGCATTCGAGCACTAAAATACTTGGAGTCAGCTATCGCCGACTTGAGTGAGATCTGTGGGCGTATCGCCGACGTGAAAAGCTTCCAAGGCATGACTCCCTTGGGTAACCAAGGAAGATAATAATATCAACAGTTACTTACAGATATTGAGAATTCGCTTCGCCACCCACTTCTTAGTCTCGCGCTGTAAACCCATGACTCCGGCCTCCAGTCCATGCTGTTGGGCGGGTGTCATGTCTGCCTGTGCTCTTCGGCTAGTGTTTTGCATAGGTCTTACATTTCCGAAAAAGTCTGTGTATTCGCCGGGCATAACCGTGTTGCTAGCCGCGGTGACCTTGAATGAAAGAAAGATCGCGAGGTTCTTATCATTTAGACCATCGTCGATCCCAATATGAGCGGTGAAAACGTTGCCGTGGCCGGAAGCGAAACCCTGTGTACAAGCGTAGCTGAGCGCAAGGTACAAGGCCAGGTACTGGTGTCCTTCCATGACCATATCGTATATTTCTTCGCGTACGCAGAGCAGCATTCCCTCGTCGGATGCCACTGTAATATTCGAAGTCAGTGGTTGCCATCTTGCGCATAGTTCTTGAGCATCATGGACGTGGTCGACGCCATTCCAGTCTGTTGTCGCCGATCTGTGTTCTTCAAACTCCCAGAAGAAACCGACGAGAGAGAGTTACTTACAGGACAATGCTTCAATGCCGTGAACAAGGGCGTCTGTTGGAGTGGTGGGGTTCATTTCGGCAGCATTCAAGATGCTACCCACCTCAGGATTCTCGAGGTTCATCTCGGATGCCATTTCGGAACGGTGTGGTATTCTATACCTAAGTTAGCAATGTTTGATAATTATCTTAACGAATAGCAACTGACGAATCCTTAGTGAAGCAGTCAGGTCGATAGTCCTCTGAGAGCTCACTCAGCCCTCTCAGAAAGACGACTGAGTGAGTGCGTGTTGGGTATAGGTATCTAGCTGTCTGTTCTTTTAGGCTGTGACTCCTAGATGTCCTGATGGATTTCCTGTTTCGCAGGCAGGTAAAAAAATGGAAGTAACTAGATGTTGGGTTGTTTAACTTCCGGGGCGATTCTCTGGCTTCAGTCAGTCTGAAGTCAGAGAATGCAGCATCAAACGATGATATGGGAAGGTAGAGGTTACACGGGAAGGTTTTCGAGAGTGTGGCCACATATGTGAACTGTAGTGAATCTATTTTGGTGTTAATGCTTCTGACCATTCACTGGTGCGGTAGTGTCGTCGATGTTTGGTTGACTGTCAGCACCAAGGTTGACGTGAAGAATAAACAAAGCTGCACAACAATAATGATCTTCATATCCATAAGTACCTAAGTGCTACTAGTATGTAAGTAAGACTTAGAACACAAGGCTTGTCTATATTTTTAAGCTTGAAGCCAGTAATTTCACTTATAAAAATCTGATAATCATGCTTGGGCTTGGGCTTGATTTCGTAAAACATGATAAAATAGGAGTTTATCATTAGCATAAGGTACTTATCCTATCACAAGTTACAAGCTAGTGGAAGTATTAATAATTAAGCAATACTCAGCTGTTTTTATCATTCGCAGAGGTTGAAATACAACAGGAGACTTGGTAATATCCTGCTATGGACATTATTCACTTTGCGTACAATGTACATTCTTTCCATATCTGTATTATTGCAGCCTTGTAGGAGGTATATTATATCTTGTCTCTCCAAGCTAGACCTGTTAAAGAAGGTAAAATTATTATTATCTGCCCTGATCACCTCATATTTTCACTCTTGACAAGCTGGAGAATTCAGCTTACACCTTTAACCTTTAACTTTTACAAACCTATACGCCTCATTTCTGAAGATAATCGATAGAAACTGGATCTCTTCCAATTGACATTGTTTATATTGTACGAGTAGGACCCGTAAGTAGGGATATTGAGATGCAGACGGAGAGAGAGATAATACATCCTCAATCCTGATGGTCTCTACATAATATATACCAGGCCAAACATTAACAAGTATCAATTGATCATCCGTGAAAGGCAAGATCTACAAAGTACAAGCTACTTTAAATTCCTGCAGTATTGATTGCATTTAATACCTCTATTCTACCAGTTGATACTAATCCCGAGTCCGTGGAAATACCCCCCTTGTACCGGATGGCCTTTCATCCCTTTTTTTGGAAAGAGCACTGGCTCTCGGTACCTTTGTTCGTGGATTACACCATTGCCATTGCTACGTAGATGCAGCTGTTGTAAGTAATTCTTGCTAGTGATGCTGCCAAAGCCACCAGGTCAAGCCTTTTCCCATTATAAAACCCTTGTCCTATTTTCATTCACACACTTGGCCATAGCTTTCATGTGAGTGAGGTTTCCTCCCATGAGATTTTATAGTCAGAGAATAAGCTAGCTGCAATGGGCAGGGGGACGGACATATACGTAGGATGAACCCACCCAACAACCTCGATACTGTTTTCAGCCAGAATATTGCTCTTCTTACTCAAGTGTGTTACCGACCTGATTGGATTCTGCAAGTCTAGAGAATCTTGCTGAATAGGGTGGTGCAACAAACGAATGTTGTATTGATCAATATGGAAAACCTGAAGGGAGTAAGTAGTACCAACCAATTATAAAAAAAGACTTGATACAAAGTGAATACGAAGAAAGCAAAAAAGAAGGTATGCCCCCATCCCGGATCGAACGAGAGACCTTGTCATAACCTTGATACAAGAATACAAGTGACACGCGCTACCACTACGCCATAGGGGCATTGGACAACCAATTGTTGAACCGCCTAACCAATTTAGGCGTTATCATCTATTGTGCCAGCCAATTAATTAGTATGGGGTTTACCCCTTAATCCGGCCTGGGTCGTGAATATGCCGCAACAAGTAAGTTAAGACCTAGGCTAATACAAAGCTACAGCAATACAAGTGACTAACCTAACTAGGTATCTAGGTAGATTTGAATGTCTGGCCAGTCCTAATTCCCACATACATCCGGAAGCTGGCAATCGAATAAGGCCGGAATAAATCTAAAGCTTGTTCTATCCTTACTCATCCTGATAAGTATACCAATGTCATCCGCCCGGATGCGAGTCACGTGAGCGGGGGTAGGAAGACGAACGCCGTGACGACTTATACAACCGAAATACTGGGTCTGCTATGGGCGATACCGGCACGATGTATCTAAGTGCCAAGGTCTAAGTAGACCGCCAGGGCGTGGTGGTTAAGTGAGAGGTGAAGAAGGCATAAATAAATTGAAGTACGTGATTGTTACACCACAAGCGTAGCAGGTATTCATTCACGTTATTCTTTCATCCCTCGTCGTCGTTTTATATAAAAAAAATGTCATCTAGCAAGGACTCTTACATCATTGTCGGAGCTGGCGTTTTTGGCGTATCGACAGCCTACCACCTCATCAAGAAATACCCCAACGCATCAGTGACCCTTGTTGATCGGGATGCCTATGATGCCGAGACTCGCGTAGCTGCCTCGTGGGATTGGAACAAGGTAGTGCGGGCAGACTATGATGACATCGTGTACTGTGAGCTCGCTCTCGAGGCGCAGGACGTCTTCAGATCCGATCCCCTATGGCAGCCATATTTCCATGAGACTGGTCTCATATGGACATGTCGCGATGATTATGCTCAAAACGTCATCAACAATTACAAACGTCTTGGAAGAAAAGCCGACATCAAAGCCGTGTCTGTTGAGGAAGCGCGCAAGTTATTCGGAGGGTTATTCGATAGTGCTGACTATACCGGCGTTAAGGAGGTACTTATAAACCCAACAGGGGGATGGGGGGCTGCCGGAGATTCGTTACGCGCAATTACTCGCAAGGCCCTGGAGTTAGGTGTCAAGTACGAGGTGGCTGAGGTTTCAACATTGCTTTTGGATAAGAGTGGGAATTGTTCCGGTATTCGAACAGCAAAGGGAAACCACTTGAAAGCAACACACACTATTATCTGTGCTGGGGCTTACACTCCGACGTTGCTGGAATATAGTGCCGTCAACAGTGGTCTACCCAATATTGCGGCCGGATTCAGACTCGTTGCAGGCGGCATCACGACAGGAATGGCTAAGTTAGATGATGAGTCGCATGCAATCTTCGGGTCCATGCCGGTGGCTTTTCAAGGGTATACTGCCAAAGAGGGTAAGGGTGCTCTTCCGAACGTGCTCCGCCTCGCATGAAAATCTAACCATTTGAACAGGCCCCTTCATTGGCTCTCTTCCGCCGACCCCAGACGATCGTGAGATGAAGTGGTGGGGACAGACAATCTTCAAAAACACCAGAGAAGTGCTACCCGGTCATTACGTCTCATCCCCGCCTGCAAAGCCAGATTACGCTCAATGGGAGGTGTCTAAAAGGCTTAAGGATGACATCAAATATGCAAACCATGTTTTCTATGGCAAGAAGACAGCGCATTGGGAGTTGACAAAACATCGTATTTGCTGGTAAGTCTCACATTTCCGCGGATATAAACAGTTGACTAATGGTTTGGATAGGGACGCCTTCACCACAAGCTCCGATTTCATTATCTCTCCACACTCGGCTGCAAAAGGTTTATACATTGCAACCGGTGGCTCGTTCCATGGTTACAAATTCTTCCCCGTGATCGGGAAGTACATTATACAGATGCTAGAGGGTCAGCTGTCTCCTCTGTTGACGGAGAAATGGGCCTGGGATAGACAACGCCCGGATCCAGCCTTGTTCCCAGACTGGCCTAGGTCAGAAATGAAGGATTTATTAGATCCGGTACTAACTTCGAAGTTGTAGATTAATAATAATTAGAACTTCTTTAATCATCTCAATATGTATTGCAACTTTGCACCAATTCGTTCACACTTGTTCATCAGGCTCTTAGATTTCTTGTCGGATACAAGTCTCATCCTAGTTAGGGAATAGGTATCTGGTAATAAGACTCAATAGACAGAGACAGTATAATCGTGTCAGCACCCTAGAACGTGTCTATTGCATGACTGGCTAACCTAAGTCAAAGTCGTGTAGCGCAAATCTTGGAAGAGTTGGTATTTGAAGAAATTATTAGCTGCACAAAAAAAGGAGAGAGAAAAACTTGATATTCTGTCCAACCCGGGGTGAAAACGCAAAGGAACCTGCTGATTTCGATCACGATTTTTGATTGGGTAGAACATCACAATAGCACCACAGTCTAGACCGCAGGAAGCTCCTGGCATGCAACCACGTGGACCGCGTCGGGCAGAAACATCGTGACACATTACAACCAGATTTTTCTCTTGACACGTATCTGGATCGAAACGCGGAGGTGGAGAAGTTCAAACTGCAGAGACTGAGCTACCTTCCCGCCTCGGACTCTAACTCCGTTGCCGACGGACCAGTGAATCTTTCTACTTGTCTATGTATCAATCTACATTGCTAGTGTCTAACTACAACGTGTTGATATTAACTAGATGATCATATCAGTGTAATTCAGTAGAAAGTAAGCAACTAAACAAGTTAGGAAATTCATACGGAAATGTTTATTCTTTCAAAGGGATAATTAAGTTCTAATGAGTGTTAGTTTAAATTGATAATTGCAAATTTTATAGCTTAGACGAGAGGTAGCGATTCATCTTTACACACGTTTTTGACTCTTTGAAGCCCACTCATGGAAACATAACCGCCAATGAAGTCGATGATATAAGGGTAAGTCTCTGATTATTTTCGCATTATCTCTCTATCCTCAAAGCCTTGTTCGACAGCCAATAGCAGTCCTAGGGGTTAATCTTTATGGTTGCGTAGAAGATCCTAAAACACCTCGGTTGAATCAATCTCCTACATCCATGTTACTTCTATTTTCCTGTAGTTGCTGGAGTCGCCACATTTCTATCGTACACTTAACTTCTGATATTGCCTACCGTGGAAAATGGGAGTCCGATGATGCATCATGCATTCTTCTCTACCTGATACTGATCCTGCGTTATCTGATGGGCACGAGACTCCCGTACGTTCCGGGCTTACAGCGTTGCAATAGGAGTAGCTCCACACAAAGGAGTGAAATGGATGGCAAGTAAGTTGCCGAGGAGGCATACTTCTTCAATACCGATCACGTGAGCGTATCTCGGGGAGCCTCCTCCGCAGCTATTGTGGTTATACGCCCGGTCATGTGATTGATACTTCAACCGCCTTTGGGTACCTAGGTATACTATCATATCTGGTGCATCGTCACAATCGTGATTAGCAAGGTGATAATAGGGGTAGGATTGGATAGGAGAGCCGTGGCCTATAGCCCAATCCCGATAGCAGTGAGAGGGGGAGGCCATATACATAGGGAATGTCCGCCGTACTGTAGTTATCATTTCTCTCACCTCTATACTTCTATCGTATGACAATATACATCAAATTAATTAAGTGCAATTCATTATGGCTGAACTCTCTATTTACTATTCGCCCCAGATTCTTCTGTTGACTATATCCGCGTCCTTGGTTGCTATAGCCCTTTCATACTTATCAAGGTTCTCAAGCTTAAGATGGATCTCTAAGGGTTTCTCTAAGGCTAAGGATGAGAAGAAGAAGACTGTCAGAGCTCTGCCGGGCTCCTGGTATCTGTCTCAAGAGATGTACGAGCTCGAGAGGCGAGCGATTTTTTCAAAGAAATGGCTTCTCACAACACATAAAATAAGACTGCCGAACCCGGGAGACTGGCTGCGATACCAGGTAGCCGGCTTCGATTTTGTTATCGCAAAGGATCGCTCCGGAGTTATCAGTGCGTTCCACAACGTCTGTAGACATCGAGCCTTTCCAGTTGTGACAAGCGATGGAGGGAACAACAGTGTCCTTGCTTGCAAGTACCACAACTGGTCCTATTCTCTCAATGGCAAGCTCACCAAAGCGCCATCGTATCAAGATATGGAAGAGTTCGACAGAAGTCAAAATAGCCTGTTTCCTATCCATGTCCATATCGACACTAATGGATTCATTTGGGTAAATATGGAGGCCGCAGAGAAGCCGACTACGGCATGGGAAGAAGACTATAAGAACATCGACAAGCAGGCTAGATTCAAAGCCTATAATTTTGATGACTACGTATTTGACCACACTTGGCAAATGGAGGGAGAATATAACTGGAAACTTCTGGGAGACAATTACAACGAATGTTATCACTGCCCAACTACGCACCCTGATATCCCGACCGTCGCCGATCTCAGCGCTTATGGTGTTGTCACGGAGAATTCGTACGTTCAACATCTCGGCAACCCAACACCTGAACAAATTGCAAAAGGCTTCAATGTGGCGGCCACATTCTACTTCCCCAATGCCTCAATGAACGTCTCGTAAGTATATAATTGTCGTTGCGTCAAGACGGAAAATGTCACTGACTCGTGTCTAGACCACACTTCTTCTTCATACAACGATTCATTCCTAAGAGCCCTAACACGTCGATCATGTACTACGAGGTCTACCGCAACAAGAACTCATCCGACGAAGACTTTCAAGTAATTAACAATATCTACAAGCGCGTCATGTCGGAGGATAAATATCTTTGCGCCAATGCGCACAAGAATATCCAAACCGGCGTGTTTGTCAATGGGGAGCTGCACCCGAAGATGGAACAGGGGCCCCTCTTCTTCCAGAAGCTTGTACGTGATCTTGTCACGGACCACCACAAGCAGGAAAAGAAGGCCGGGCAAGAGATCTGGCCGGCTCGACAGAGACTCCCAGGTAGTGCGAAGGCGAGCGAGGAAGATCTCGATTTTTGTTCGGCAGTGGATTGCACGAATTTGAAAAAGGAGGGTCTTGATTGGTGA